GTATGATGCATGATAGTTTTTCCCATTTAAAATAAGGGAGGCCCCTGGCGAGTGCTTCCCCATAGAATGTCACATAGATGGTGAATAGAAGATGCTGGTATACAGAAATGTAAGACAGCATGAGAGAATGGAGATCAAACTTGTGTGAATAAATGGACTTATTCAGTCTAAATGGCCTTAAATCAGCCATTAAAAGAAAAAAATTTTTGAGGCAGGTCTTCACAGCTATAAAAGAATATCAGGCAAATGAATACACAGAAAACAGGGGTCCTGATCTTACTTGATAAGCACTCAGGCCCAAAGACAGACCATTTAGTTATGCTAAAGGCTGAATTCGTAATGAAGCGATAGTTATGAAAACCTAGTCACCAACCCGTACGGCAACAATCTCTACAAAGCAGGAACTACGGAAAATGAGAAAGAAACACACTAATAACAGGCGACCTGGAAACGTCTCCTTCACACTCAGAGATGCCACTGGCAAAACTGACTGAAGATCTACAAAATGTAACGACCTTGGAGATTTACGTGTAACTGCGAACCCAACAACGGCAAACACGCCTTTTCCAAGTGCCTGTGGGACACGTCTGAAAACCGATCATCTTTAATGCCAAAGGAAAACCCTGACATTTCAAAAACTTTAATACAAACCACCTTCTCTGTCTATAATGAAACCAAACAGGAAATTAACAAAAGGAAAAAAATTAAACTTTAGGGTCCAAGAGGAAATAAGACATGAAAGTACATAAATTCCTAAAAATAATGATAAAAACAGGAAATATAATAATCAACAAACACAGCCTAAATAGTGCTGTGACAAAGTTTCATTCCATTAAATATTTGTCAGTAAAAATGAAAATAAAAACTAAACAGGCACCTCAAAAAGCAAGAACACACAGAAAACCAAAAGAGAGTAGAAGATATTAATACATAAAAGAACTTAAGGTGTTAGTTAGAAAAGACAAATGAATGAATGAGGGAATAATTAGCGATCAAGCTGACTCTTTGAAAGTTTTCCTTCTTTTTCAGTGATCTGGAATAAAAGCAATACTGGAATTATCTGATTTTCAGATTTTGCCTGTGATTCTAATTCTACTAAGATCAGTTTTAGTAAATTATATTTTCCTAGAAAATTGTCCATTTCATCTAAGTGTTCAAATTTATTTGTATAGGGCTGTGCAAAATAGTCTTATGTTCTAGAGACTAATTCCCCATTTTTATTTATTATTTTTTTTAGAGACAGAGTCTCGCTCTGGCACCCAGGTAAGAGTGCAGTGGCCCAGTCATAGCTCACTGTAACCTTCAACTCCTAGACTCGAGTGATCCTCCCATCTCAGCCTCCTGAGTAGCTAATTTTTTTTTTTT